TGTAGACGAGAAGAGAGGCTAAAGACGAAGCTACGGTGCTCTGCAGAGCTAAGCACCGCTCCCAGGCCTCTTTCGGCAGAAGCCGTACACCGCAGAGCACTGTGAGCGGCAGAATCCTCCTTGCACGAAGAAGCAGCTTCTTCGTCTCCGGGAGCCGGAGAGAGCGGCAACTTCGCAAAGGTGATGAAACAAGCTGTACAACACTGCGATTGTGTGCGCAGCATGACAACTGAGAGAAAACAGTACCTGACCACTCTCCTGCCTTTTCTATTCACATGAACATTCGATTGGAAGCTGTTTTGGACAACTTTCTTTCTCTTCCTGCAAAACACTCGGCAGGCCTCCGTGCAGCCTCTAGAACACGATGGGAGATGTTTTTTGTGCTGGCACAGTTTCTCCTTGCCAGACAGAGTGGAAAAGCTTTTTGCTAAGATGTAGACGAGAAGAGAGGCTAAAGACGAAGGTACGGTGCTCTGCAGAGCTAAGCACCGCTCCCGGACCTCTTTCGGCAGAAGGCGCACACCGCAGAGCACTGTGAGTAGCAGAATCGTCTTTGCGCGAAGAAGCAGCTTCTTCGTCTCCGGGAGCCGGAGAGAGAGGCAGCTTCGCAAAGGTGATGAAACAAGCTGTACAACACTGCGATTGTGTGCGCAGCTTGCCAACTGAGAGAAAACAGTACCTGACCACTCTCCTGCCTTTTCTATTCACATGAACATTCGATTGCAAGCTGTTTTGGACAACTTTCTTTCTCTTCTTGCAAAACACTCGGCAGGCCTCCGTGCAGCCTCTAGAACACGATGGGAGATGTTTTCTGTGCTAGCGCAGTTTCTCCTTGCCAGACAGAGTGGAAAAGCTTTTTGCTAAGATGTAGACGAGAAGAGAGGCTAAAGACGAAGGTACGGTGCTCTGCAGAGCTAAGCACCGCTCCCGGGGCTCTTTCGGCAGAAGCGGCACACCGCAGAGCACTGTGAGCGGCAGAGTCGTCTTTGCGTGAAGAAGCAGCTTCTTCTTCTCCGGGAGCCGGAGAGAGCGGCAACTTCGCAAAGGTGATGAAACAAGCTGTACAACACTGCGATTGTGTGCGCAGCTTGCCAACTGAGGGAAAACAGTACCTGACCACTCTCCTGCCTTTTCTATTCACATGAACATTCGATTGCAAGCTGTTTTGGACAACTTTCTTTCTCTTCTTGCAAAACACTCGGCAGCTCTCCGTGCAGCCTCTAGAACACGATGGGAGATGTTTTCTGTGCTGGCAAAGTTTCTCCTTGCCAGACAGAGTGGAAAAGCTTTTTGCTAAGATGTAGACGAGAAGAGAGGCTAAAGACGAAGGTACGGTGCTCTGCAGAGCTAAGCTCTGCTCCTGGGCCTCTTTCGGCAGAAGCCGCACACCGCAGAGCACTGTGAGCGGCAGAATCGTCTTTGCGCGAAGAAGCAGCTTCTTCGTCTCCGGGAGCCGGAGAGAGCGGCAACTTCGCAAAGGTGATGAAACAAGCTGTACAACACTGCGATTGTGTGCGCAGCTTGCCAACTGAGAGAAAACAGTACCTGACCACTCTCCTGCCTTTTCTATTCACATGAACATTCGATTGCAAGCTGTTTTGGACAACTTTCTTTCTCTTCTTGCAAAACACTCGGCAGACCTCCGTGCAGCTTCTAGAACACGATGGGAGATGTTTTCTGTGCTGGCACAGTTTCTCCTTGCCAGACAGAGTGGAAAAGCTTTTTGCTAAGATGTAGACGAGAAGAGAGGCTAAAGACGAAGGTACGGTGCTCTGCAGAGCTAAGCACCGCTCCCGGGCCTCTTTCGGCAGAAGGCGCACACCGCAGAGCACTGTGAGCGGCAGAATCGTCTTTGTGCGAAGAAGCAGCTTCTTCGTCTCCGGGAGCCGGAGAGAGCGGCAGCTTCGCAAAGGTGATGAAACAAGCTGTACAACACTGCGATTGTGTGCGCAGCTTGCCAACTGAGAGAAAACAGTACCTGACCACTCTCCTGCCTTTTCTATTCACATGAACATTCGATTCCAAGCTGTTTTGGACAACTTTCTTCCTCTTCTTGGAAAACACTCTGCAGACCTCTGTGACACTTCTAGAACACGATGGGAGATGTTTTCTGTGCTGGCACAGTTTCTCCTTGCCTGACGTAGTGGAAAAGCTTTTTGCTAAGATGTAGACGTGTAGAGGCGCTAAAGACTGGATGAAAGCAAATGACACCCATCTTCAAAGAAGGCAATTAGGTGTGCTCGGAAGAGTCCGAACCAGCCAGCCTGTTTTTTATCTCCAGGAAGTTTATGGAGCAGCTATTCCTGGAAAGACTTGCCCGGCACATGAAGTACGGCAAACTCAGGTCGTCAGCATGGATTTTCCGGGGGAATTTTTTTTGCTGAACATCTTTTTCAACTCCTCTGATGAATCGACTGGTCGATGAACGGAATTTTGACTGCCTGGGCCTCAGGGAGGTTTTTGGCATTTCTCTGCATGGCAGCACACATACATACTGGAAGCAATAATGCTAAGGGGAGGGAACCAGTGTCTTTTCAGTGATGCTGAGTGAAAAGACAAGAGGCAGTGGGCACACTCTGAAATACCGGATATTGCCTTTGAACATCACCAAAAGATTTTTTAATGTGAGGGTGACTGAACCATGGCACAGACTGCCCAGAAAGGCTGTGGAGCCTGGATCTTTGAAGACATTAAAATTACACCCAGATAGAATCCTGGGCAAGAGGCTCTAGGTATCCTGGTTTAGCAGGGGGGTTGGATCTGGTTAGCCCCACCAACCCCTTCCACTCTCAGTCGTTCTGTGCTAGTGAATTCTCTTGGAGATGCACTTCAAGCACTGGCATGACAAAGTTCTGTGCAGAGATCCAAATGGACATGGGATCTAAGTTCCTTAAGCAGTGTTCAAGAAGAATATAAAACTCTGGGACAAGTATCTCTTCCCTAACTGAATCCCTTTCAGGGGTAAATTCCCAGCTATAGAAAGATCTTCTGATACGCGTGCATTAGACTGACACTGGCTGAGCAAATTTCTCCCTATGTGTATCTAAGACCAGTTAGGATCTTCACCCAAAGTGTTGTCAACATAGTCACAGAATGTCTACTGTTAAGAAGTGACAACTGACATCAGAATGGCAAATATTGGTCCACAAAATGGATGAATGGATGGGAATCATCTACTTGGGTTAAAAACAAAAATACAGAGTTGGTCTTTATTTCTCAATTTCATTGCAATATTGATAAGGGAAGAAAAAGACCTAAGTCCTTGACTTTCTTAACTGGAGGAAAGATTTTAAAAATTCCTTGTAAAAATGTATTATCACTATCAGACTATTGAAACCATTTGAGATTTGAGTTGGGAAAAAAGATCCGAATTTGTCTAGATAGTGGCAAAGAAGCCAAGAAAATAGGAAAGAAACAAAAAGAGAGCAAAAGAGTCAGCTTCAGCGGACAAGCTCGTTCTGGAAGTAGTCTGCGGGGAAAAGGAACTCCCAGTTGAATTTCCAGTGTATTCCTGCGCTGCTTTCACTAACTGCTCAATGGAAAAACCAATCCTTTTGTATAACTTCTCCCAGCAAGAAAAACTCCAACAGGTTGACACCACCATCATGCCTGTTCCAGACATATTGAAAAGAGAAAGGATGATTTTCTTGAAAAGCTACTTGCATAAAAGTCGCAAGACAGTGGAGGGATTCCCACATTCTCCTTCCTCCATCTGGCTTGAAAGTATGTTTGATCAAATATGCAACAAAGCACATGATTTATAAGGTAGAGTCAAATGGATGGTTTGGGAATTGATCTCTTGTTGATAGTAAACTTCATATCCACTCTGTGTGACCTTTCTAAAACAAAATGTGGAGCGGAGGCATGAATCTGCCACAACAAGGGTTAAGCAAACCTACACACTCCCGTTCACATGCCCCCCCTTCCACACACACCTAGGCACACACAGAGATCAGCATAGAAGATCATGAACACCTTGGAAAAGACTGAAATGCTAAATGCCTCTCTTTATGGGCAAAGGAGCTGGTGCAATAGTTCAAATGCCTGGTACAAAAATTCTGTTGAACATTTAGCTCCTATTTAAAAGACAGCTTTTCATTTCATTCCATTTACAAATCATTTTCATTTCATTTGTTTCTTTTAAATTACTTAGTTCTCATGTCTTGTATGTCTAGGAATATTTTCTTTGAAAAAAAGGAAAAAATAGGTGAGATCTTTTCAGCACAAAACATTGCTTGATAGAATTTTAAACCATCGTGATATGGAAGAATTGTTCTGTCCCTCTCTAAGGTGGAAGAAGTATTTGGATCACAGATCATCTACAATGAAATACTTGACATGTTTAAGATGCTTTCAATCCGTGGCACTTTTGTTTCTTTTCATTTTCTTGTGGTGTTGCTGATGTTTTTTTTTACATTTATTTTATTTCCACAGAGATGTCAAATGTTAGTAAACAGAAGAATATATATTTTAAATGGAATCTGAAATTAATTGTTATAGGTCCTTAGTGATTTTTGTTGAGATGCCAGCTGCAGTCATCATCTTATTTCAGATGAAGTGATTACCAGTATAAGCTTATGGTATGAAGCAGGTAATAGTTCACAGAGTAATGGAGTTCTGCTTACCATTTGCAGATGTTCTGATTCTTCATTTGCTACTTTAACTTGTAACCACTCTCTTTTTTGGATAGCTAGAAATCTGTGAGAGAAACTACAGCAAGATTCCTTTGTCGTTAGATACTTGATATGACAATATTAGGAGAAGGGGAAGGAGAAAATGGTGTTTAGCTCTGTTTCCATGAAGATTCAAACCCTTTGGTGGTGTTCTGAAATACCAACAACCCCAAAATAAATTGCAGCATTGGAATTGCAGTAGCAAAATTTATTTTGATATGGATGTATTTTTGATTAGTAATGTATAGCAAGTTTTTGTAAGGCTTCAAGCCCCTGCCCCCTTCTTTCTTAATTTCTCTCCCTACAAAACTGAAGAGAAGAGCCTAAATGTCATTAGGAGCTGGTGTCTTGTGTAGAATAGTTTTGAACAGAAGGAAAGAGGGTAATTGATAACCTAAAGCAAACAGCAAGAGATCTGCCTTGCTGTCACAAGTCTGCTGCATCTCTGAGAAAGCTTGCTGTGCTATTAGAGTCACAATGTGCTCAGTAAGGAAATCTTCTTGGGAAAAAATATCTTTTCGCAATTACTTGAAAGCAATAAGCAGATGTGTATTCTCCGACGCATTTTCAAAAATTACAGAAGTTTAAAAATTTTGATCAAAACCAGTTTGTTTCATTACTTGAGGAGCTTTTCTAAGCCAAGCTCTAAGTTCTCCTCATGTTGCTGTTGTGTAGCTGAAGCCTAGAGCATGAAGATGACAGAACTCGGTTCTCACAACTGTAAATAAAGCTGGAGGAAGGTTGTGGATGTGCAGGAACCGATTGTCTGACGTTAGCAGCAGATCAATGCACAACAAATGTGAATAGCACTGGATGGGTGCTGAACACATATGATTGTAACCTTAGTCTGAGAGAGATTACCTCTGGTTTGCACCCTGGTGGTGATTCTAACCCTAGTCTGAGAGAGATCACCTCTGGTTTGCATCCTGGTGATTCTAACCTTGGTCTGAGAGAGATCACCTCTGGTTTGCACCCTGGTGATTCTAAACTTGGTCTGAGAGAGATCACCTCTGGGTTGCACCCTGATGATTCTAACCACATTAATCGCTTCATCTGCAAATGAGATGATGAGTGCAGCTGGCATCTCCACTCACGGGCATGATCCCTTACCAGCGTACAGCATTTCTCCCCAGCAGCATTCATGTGTATCTTACTTCAGTGACTCATAAATAATTATGTTCTTTTAGCTGCAAATTAAGTGGCTGATGACTGAGGTTTTTCTGGGCAGCATACTGATAGATTATGTATGGTTAGTACTGTTCATATTGTTTTGTGCTTGTGGGGGTTTATTCCCTCAAAACCTGTACTTGTAGGTCTTAGAGATTATTTTTTTTTAATGATTAATTTGGTAAGACTTCCCTATCATCTTTCTCCTTGGATTACTGGTAGAAATTTTCTTCCTGCTGTTTGTTACATACCTCCCTGAAGGATACTAATCGTTTTATGTATGTACCTTTCCTTGAAAATATAACTAGGTTACTTTGGCAACCAGCCGTATGTTCTGGAGAAGAGATTTATTATTTTTATAGAAGCCTCTCACCCCCAGAGACAGGAACAGTGATCTTGAATGTCTCCATGGGTAAAAATCAATGGATCTTTACTTATTTGTATATATGCTCCAATGTAGTTTTCTGTTGCCCTGAGTTTCTTTTCATGATAGAGTTCACCTGAGTCTGAGCATCTATTTTGGTTGCTACAATTAAAAGGTGTCCCTCCTAATGCATACCTGTTGCATGGCTGTGTAACTGTGCTCTCATTTTGTGATAGCATGGGCATTCTAATTTAGTCTTGCATGGTGAATTATTCTGGGAGTCCACATTGCAAATTGCCAAGTCTGGCATTCCCTTCTCTATCAGGTCCTTTTGCCCACTAAGGAATAGCTACACCTTACTGATTAGTTTATCAAGACAGACTGTACATTATTGCTTATAAACTAAGTTGCTCTGGGATAATAATGCTTCTGCGCTGTCGATGAATGAGTAAAAATTTGAACATTACCTTCACATATATATGTGCATGTGAGGCACAGGCTTTTCCCATGCCCCTTGCCATCAGATGCTACTCATTTTCTGTTGTTTGGACAGCGTACAAAATAGCATACCCTGGAGACAACAGGGCTGTGTTGTGAATTCCTGTTCCTAGCCAGCCCCTGGAAAATGTTTTGGTTTGGAATACGGGAAGAAATGAAGCTGTGGGGAAACGGTGTTTGTCCCTGGTTAAAGAAAGAGCTACCTTGCACGCTGTGAGATGGGCTGATACATACATTGTGTGAATCCAGAGTATGAGGAGACATTCACCAGGGTACTGTATTTTTCCTCACTAGCAAAAATAAACGATTCCGTTTCAATGCCATTTCCCAATTTTTGATATCCTTCTTGCCTCATTTCCCAAACAACTCTGAGCTGGGAATGTCTTTCATTCCCGCTGCCTGTGTTGTTTGTTCTGGCTACTGGATCTTTTCCATTTCTGGGAGATGCTGCATCTCTCTGTTTCTCTGCCAGACTAATTCTTTTTTGCTCCAGTGGGCTTTGTGCTTGGAGCAGAGAGTGCAAAATGCCTGGTCAGAAGTGTTACAGTTTCAGGGAAGGTAGATGGTGAATTTCCAGGCTATTTCTATTTTGGGTTTTGTTTGTTTCCTTTCTTCTTACTGTTATATACTAATAGGTTTTTTTTTAGTTTTTCTCTCTGTACTCTCTTCCAATATAGAAATAACATTTTTCAAAAATCCTCCAAGGTCCCATGAGGAAACAGTAACCAGTCTTTCATTTCTTTGTGTAGGCACACACTCAGAAGGGCAGAGGGCACAGTCATCCTGTCAGTGCAGCACAGAGAACAGTGAAATATCAGTAGAGGATTTGTTTCTTCCTGCTATCCTAACTTTTTTTCTTTGTTGATATTAAAGCATAAGTTATTCTTAATGCGGTTCTTCCTTAAACATTCCTTGTACGCTGATAGGCTCAGCAAAGGTTTGGTCACTGGGGAATGGATGACTCAGGCTTTTACACTCTGAGTCAACAGTCACAATGAGTAGATTCATATACTTTTGGCATGTAAGTACAAGCTGGTGCTTCATTTCACTGTGTTTTGTCGATGAATTTTTCCAGAGTTAATTCAGACATTCTGAAGCATTGAGAAGCAACATAACCTGTGCTCTGCTTGGGCGTAGGTTATGGTGGAAAGTGAGTTGATGTTGTTACCTGCTCTCACGATGCTACATTTGCAGTTAAGGAAACAGCCTCAGAATGCCTTCCATGCTTGTGTTTTTATCAGTTTCTCTTTGAGGGGCATGCCTATACTACCTAACAAACTTGTTTAAATATATAGCATACTTTCCTAACTGCGTAATGTTTCACTTTGTCCACTTTGTTTCTTTGAAGACCTAAGGTGCTGATAGTAAAATTGTTGAAAGGGCGATAATGCAGCATGGGGCTGTGGAGCTTGCCAGGCTGTGAACAGGATATAACAAGCTTCTATTCTTTGGCATCAGCTTAAAAGTAGTCCTTTTGTTTTGTGAAACTTTTAATTTGGGCTGTTTTGAAGGGAAGTGATGTACTGTGGCTCAAACTGGCAACTTCTGTGTTCTTTACTGGGATAACTTTATTGAATATCCTCTCTGACTGAAAGGAGAGTGGTGAACAACACTAGTCCAGTGTCACAGTAGAGATAAATAACACTGTTATCGAAGTAGATGAAGGTTTCATTTAATTTCATTTATCCTCTGCACCAGTGTTTCCCGAAGAGTTCTGATGCTTTGTGCTGATCCTCCCTACTGGAGATATGCAGATGAGTTATTTTTCTGTCAGCTCTGTCCAATGAAAGTCAAGATCGTGCTGCTAGGCCACCTTTTTACAGGAAAAATAATCTAATGACTGGATTGCAGTACTGTCATGGAAATAAATTGCCTCCTATGTTCAGATAGCAGCAAGGTGGTGACCACTTAGTGCAAATCTTCTTCCTATTGTTAATGGTTTCTCAGTAGCATAAAAGCCTGTGCTCTTGGCAGCTAAAAGATTTAGTCACATCTAGATAATGTATTTGAGACAAGACACAACTAGATCAAATGATTATTTGTGAGGGTTTTGCCTCGATTCATCATGCGGTAGTACATTTTCCAAGAGTTCGGCTGCAGAGCTCCTACCAGAGACACTGATAAGGTTTTTTGGGGGTCTGATTTTGTTTTTCCTAGGTGTCTCTGTGTGTCTTTGTTTTTCTCACTTTTGTTGCATTCTAGTGAGTTGTGAGCCAGCTAGCCTTCCTGTGTGGTAGGTGTGAAAAATTGGACTGTCTCGCTGTTCCAGCCTCTGGTGAACATGAGCTCTCTTGCCATTCCTCTGAAACTGTGCTACATTCTAAAAAGATGATTATGGAGTGCAGTATTTAAGGGTTGTATGGTGGCATGAGGTCAGGTTCTGTGGGGGGAACTGGCTGTATTTGGAAATCTCAGTGATCTGCTACTACTCGTGATCAGCTTTAGAGAGGACAAAGTCAAATAGCGTCAGAAGGTGTCTGCTGAGCCTTTTGACAACTGCTTTGCACGACATCGACTGTAATTTTTAAGATGATGTCAAGTAGTGCTAGTATTCAGTCATTTTAATAAGGCAGTGAGTCTTAGCAGCAAAGACTTGCTGGCAACTCGCTGTTTGAGCCTGGTGCTGTTACATCAGCTCTTTTGTGAAGGCTTCATCATGCACAAACTTTTATGCTTATCCCACTTTTTCCACCAAATTAAAATAGGGGTCAATTTGAAACTATATACCAGGAGATTTCATTGGCAATTTGGGCTAAAGCAAAAACTTTAATCTCTGAAGGTTAGATTTAATTGTCTCCCTGCCTCTCTTAACTGTAATAAAAGAGTAGTGAAAAAGCTTCAGCTAGTTTTCCTTTTATTTACTCCAGCAGCAGGTTCGAGCCCAAAGGAAAAAAAAAAAGGTGTAAAACAAGCTGACTTGGCCTTTTGTATGTATCAGAGCTTTTGTAGCATTGGTTTCTCATCAGACCAAGCTTGCTTGCTGTGAGGATAATCTGACTCACCTTTTGGAAAGGTAAAGGTCAGCTGCACTTGAGGAAGCCCCTGGTAGGCAATGCAGGCTCATAAAAATACTCTCAGCTCTTTCTTGACAGTTACCTTCTCTGGACCATGGTCTTGTCTTTGCTTGCCTCAGGCTTCTGGGAGCCCAGGATAGTTTATTGCCCTGCAGAAAGCACTGGGTAGATCCCACAGCAGTGTTCACTGCTGTATATTCCTGTATATATATATATATATATATATATATATATATATATATAAAATACATATATATTTCAATGCATGGCTCATTAATCTGTGTCCCTTCTGTGGAGTAGCTGATGATGCGTTTATTTATTTCTTCCTTCCTTCTTTTTCTTCAGTGCTTTGACCCTTTCATTTTGAAGGCATAAGGTGTGGAAGTGTAAAGAATGATCTCATGGTAAGGGACTCTGAGTCCAGGATAAAAGTGAATTATTAGAACAGAATTTCTCTCTGAGGTAGAATGGGTTTTAAGAATGATGCCACATAGGCAGAATGCATTTCTCATTTGTATACCCTGACAAAAGAATTGATTGTTGCTGCCTGCTTTTAGGTATGTAGATTTATACCTGACAACTAGCTCTAAGTTCACAAGTAGTAACAAACGATAGAAACCAGCTTAACCACTGGTAGCAATTAGCTGTTTTAGAATGTGTTTGAAAAGGTTGTGTAACTGGGGAAATTGTCAGACAAGAGAAGATCCAATCAGGCTGCTAAAAGAGATTTTGTGGGCAAATGAAATGAGTACTTCGGTAAAATTCCTTACTATTGCAGCGTATGCGCGTGCACACTGGTGGGCTGGGGCTGATGAGCCTCTGGCAGGGAGCTTTGCAGAAGCTGCAAATGTTTTCAGTGGAAAGGAGACCTCAGCTCAGTTCTGCGGCATGTGACTTCCTATTTCGGTAGGTTACTTCCAAGGGACTTCCTCTGTTAAATGGACTCGTCTCTGGAGATTTAATCTGGAGCTGGAGCGTGGTCTGCTTTGTCCTGTGCCTCTGACAGCACTTTCCTGGAGTTTGCTTTGGAGTATTTCATTTTTATTTTGCACTGTCTCCAGCGTGCAAGGGTCTAGTGGCTGCTACTCGTGATCGGAAGCTGAGCACGTTTGTCCAGGTCTCAGTGGTGCATCCAGCAGAGCACATTGCCGCGCGGTATTCGAGCACTGAAATCGTGGAGGTGAGAGTCTTCCTTACTCAATTAACATGCTGATTGTTCCATTGCTCATTTCTTCCTTAGAAAGTGAGTTAGGAATAAAACAAGTTGGTGCATAGTGCCAGGTAAGACAAGCACACCCTGGCAGTTAGTAAAGCATACTGAAGTGTGCTGTAGTTCTTGGCATTTAAGCAGGATCAAGAGAAATTCACTTGGCTTCTCATGAAAGCTCTGTTGTTCCAAGTGGAGGCATGGAGAATATTCCAATTCTCCAGACACAGGTTTAGAATGAAACAGGGAATAGTTGCTCTCATGAAGGGACAAGGCAATGCAAAATAAAACTTAATTAAGAGTATAGTGAGTTTGGAAAGTATTTTTAAATGCAGAAAAGCATAGGTGTATTACATGGTCTGTTATCCTATTTGGTTTTTGTTCTATTTTTTCCATTAAAGAGCTGATGCTTTTGCAATTTGAAAAATATTACTCTAGATCTATAATTTGGGAAAGAAATGTGTGTATGTAATGTCTGTGACTTTACATGTAAGAATTAGTAATTGGTACCATACGTGACAACAAAAGTCGTCTGAGGCTGCTTTGCTAATCCTGACTTTGCCCTGTAAGCATTGGTGTCAGAAACAGCGAAAATGGTTCAGAGAAAATGAAGGGTGAGCAATGTAGATGTAACTTGCTTAACTTACAGGGGAGATTCATTAAGAGCAGGAAAGTCTCATTGTAAACACACACATGATTTCACCAGAGGCTTGTTTTAACTCTTAAATACAATGAGAATATTTCATGAGGTCTTTGTGTGATTACTTTCAACCAACTACTAATTAAATTATTATGATTTCAGCCCTCAACCATCCTGAAACTGTCTAATTCAAATATCTTGTATCTGATCAGGATGTCTCATTGCAGACTGTCTGGAATGATGTTGTGCAAAAGATGGATAGATAACCATGTATTCTTTGAAATAGAAGTTGATGCATTTCCTAATACAATGTCCTAGACCTCAATAAATTCCTGAATTTGTTTTATCAAGGTTCTTGGCTTTGTAGTCAAGCTTTGGTGGAGGGCAAGGCAGGGTCACAGAAAGTTAATCCGTAAGATAAATTACCTTTGTCGTGCACAAGCCTTTTTTTTTTTTTTTTTAATTACTTAATGGAAAATTTAATGATACCCACCTGGTAATCTTTGGCAATTAGGTGTAATTAAACATGAAGAAATTATAAATAATGTTTTGCATTATTCATTTAATTGTACATCTTTAGCTATGATATAGTTAGTTCTGTGTACAGCTTTTAAGTGTAATCATAATGTTTCAAAGCACAGGAATTTTATTTTATAGCAGTACAGCCTAAAGAGGAATATTTCAATCCCCTCTCCACAAAATCAGTATCCTTAATGTAATACTGAGAGTCTCTGTAGCATTTCTATACACTCAGTATTGTGGCTTAATGAAGATTGCTCTTTTTTGTATGTGTGTGCATGTTAAATCCTTAGTTCATCTAAATTAAGATGAAATTTTGGTACTTTCAAAAAGTGTTGAGGGAGTAAGAAAGGTTTTTTGGTTATTATAGGTTGTATTCCAGAACCTGGTACTAGCTGAGCTGTTTAAAAATGTGATAGCAGGCTCTGCCTCTGAAGCACTTCATATCCTTCCCAGTTAAAAAAACTTTCCAGGAAGTTCTTGTAGTTTTGTTTGGGTTTTGCTTGTTTGCTTTTAGCTTTCCTGATAAAGTTTTAAGGCTGTTTGTTTTTTCTCTTTGATTGGGTAATAAAACTGAGCTGTTTCCATCTCTCTGCTGTAGACAGCTGGCACCCTCTGGGTTTCTGTACCTCCACAGTGACACCCTTCACATTGCTCAGCTGTCCTTACTGAGTGTTTGCCCATGTTGCACAGGGTACAAAAGATCCTCTGTTTCTGACTGGTGTGACCTTCCCACCGGAATACCCCATCTATGAGGAAACTAAAATAAAACTCACGGTCTACGATGTCAAAGATAAATCCCAAGACACGGTAAGCGCTTTGCTTCAGTCCGTGCACAGATCTGACTGAGGAATGAGTTTCTTGCTGTGTTGTTCTTCGGCTCTCATTAGCAAATTGGGGAGATGGTTTGATGTCAAATTGGTTTTGTTGTTCTCTTGTGCCTAAAATCTACTTCATCTGTTGTTGATATGTTAGAGACTAGAGAAAGAGAACCATGCACTTAAGGTGGGCTTTTTGCTATTGGCTTTTTAACTGGTTACATGAGTCAGCACAGGTATTCCTGGCAAAGAAAAGACTGCTCTCTTGTGCTTTTTGAGAGCAGAGAACACATGGAATAGACTCTGATAGCACTGCTGTGAATAACTTTTCAGAAATATATTTCTGATAATATTTTACTTCTCTGCATAAACCAGAATGACAGTAGAGCCTGTAACTTGGGAGAGAGCTACTCCTATTTAATCTCTTGGGTGGTGATACCTGCAGCTTTCTGTTGCTGCTTTTGTTCTTGATTTGTAGCAGTCCAAACTCTACAGCTAAAGGTGAATCATTTGGGGTTCCAGTGTTGTAGACTCTTGAGTACAGAGTCAGCTTTTTATTCTTGGGAGTTACTCACTTGGGCTGATACATGGAGGTCAGAGGAACAATCTGAGTGGTTAAACTGCCAAATAAAGAGCTTGAGTACTATTTGATGTGTTCCAGATAATCCAAGACAGCCTTAGACAAGGGCTAAGCCTTTGTCTTAGCCTAGGACAGAGCTAGATGTCATAACAGGACCTGTGGGAGATGTGTATTTTTCTTCTGCAGCAGGCTGGAGTCCAGCTGATTAGTTTGCTCTCAGCCATCAAGAATGGCCACGTTGACACCTGTGTTGAATTGACTGAATTGCTCTGTAGTTGGCACCCAGCATGATGAAAGCAAGTGCAAGCTTCTGTCCTGGCTGTATATATGTTCATTATCTAGAAGAAGGTAATCGAGGACATGATTTGAAGCTTGGGACTGTCTTTGAGCTGCTTACAAAAGTAAAGTTCTATGTTTTGAGAACTTGTAATTTTTTCAGGTAGAAAATTATTGGTCTATTTGTTTAAATTTTCAACCTTTGTGAGCCAGCAGGTTGCTTCTGTCCCCTCACTGTGCTCTTTCATGGGAATATGTGGAGTGTCTTAAGCATCAAATCTGAATTTCTTCTCTGTTTAAGAAGGGAAGGGACATGTATATGCATTTTATAATGTATATATTTTAAATTTGGTGTTGGATTAGACTACAGGGACTTAAAATGGGATCTGCTGTTTCTTCAATAGAGTTGTCACCTGTGGACAGGTAACAGGCATTGAGTTAAGGGAGTTGGACTTTGTCCTTCCCTTCCAGTTTCATTTTGACTGACAGATGCTGGAAAATAATATCCTATCAGTAAGTGATAAAAGTGAACTGGGTTGGTAGTACTTTTTCCCTGTGTTACTGCTTTTCTAGCTCCAGGCTCCTCTACTGCCACTTATGAAAGAGAAGATCTACCCTAGAGAACTAATAGAACTTGATAAGCTTTTTGCAAACATGTAAGGACTTTCTGTAACTGTTCCTTACAATTGTAGTTCAGGACTAGAGTCTCTCCCAGGGAATCCCACTGATGTAGCTTGTAAATCACGAGATAATACCTTTCTCTTTTGTCGTAGCATTTGTATTGTTCCTATGTGAAACATTCTAGATCTGTGCTGTAGGACCTTTTTGTGGGGGCAAGTATTGATCTCATCTCTGATTTACATACATTTAGCATTTTTTACTACTCAACCATTTTAAGCTGGATGTAGGCAATAAAAAATTAAATAAGATGCAAGATTTAAATCAAGATGAGCTGCAGCATATGTGAATCACCCCAGGCTACCCTAGTTGCAACTTCGTCTGTGGCAATATTTCCACTTCTGTTTACATCCCAGAATCTCAGTCATGCTATCACTTGACTTTCTTACCTGTAATTAATTAGAAACCATCATGCTTTCTATTAGTTTGGGTGATTTTTTTTCAAGTCTGGATGTTTATGTAGGCTCATAAGAGTCAGGTTAAAACGAGCTATAATTTGATATCATTACCAGCATAGCTGCAACAGCACGGATCTCCATGCTTGGAGATCAAACCAAACAAACTGGATATGTCCCTTTGGCAGTGAAACTGCTCCCAGGGCTGTGGTGTCACAGCTCTGATTCTCCAGTCTGCAGCAGAGCTGGCTTTCCTGTTCTTCAAAAAGTGCTGCCACGTATTACAGCTGCCAAATGTAGTCCCACCATTCCTCCAAACGGACAGGTAATCCAGTTTTGGGTGGGGGGGAATCCAGGCCTGCTAGGCATGCCCTGCTCTTCCAGGTTGTGCTCCAGAGCAGATGTGAGCTCAAATCATTGGGCATTTGTAGCAGAAATAAACCTTGGATTGGACTCTGAGCTGTTCTGCAGAAATCGTGTTACAGCAATAATTCCCACAGCATCAGGGCTGTGCTACTGCTTGCCTCAGTTAATGAGCTCAAAGTAGTTAATATCTCTTGTCACAAATAAATACTTTAACTTTTCTTATTTATTTTGATGCAACTATAGGAAGTGAATTCTGTGCATGAATTAAACTCAGCAGGATTTTACTACCACAAATAGAAGACTGTAGAGAAGGCGGGAAAAGGGCAGTGAGTACATCACGGGTAAAGCATTTTCTTGTTGTCAAAGGTTTGACATTGGCACAAGGCCAAATGCCCCCATGAAAATACACCTTCTCTGGTGTCTGCTGTGAGATTTTGACCAGGAATAAACAAAGCAGGCTCTCACTTGAAAAAGAAGAAAAATTTATTAACTAAACTACAAAAACAATTACCAAACTACACACAAAAGAAAGGGGAAAAAAAAAACACAAGGAAAATGAAAACCTCACAAAAACACTCTCCTCCTCCTCCTCCCCCCCCCAAATTCCCAATACAATACAATCCAAAATCAATTCTGGGTCCAGCACCACCCTTTAGAATACTCGACTTCAGTTCCTCAAGAGGAGAGGGAGTCCTTCCATGTGTCATGGTGGCCTTTTCCGTCCTTGTTCCGGTGCTCTCACCACCGGACCAGAATCAGGGCTGCTTCCAGGGTTGTCCTTTTAAGGAGGCTGTGTCCAGTTCCAGAAAAGCTCAATCTCTCACCTCTGGGACATCTGTCCCCCCCATATTTTATATACCCCCTGGGGCCGAGGGGTGCCCACACTGAATCTTCTTTGGCTCTGGGACATTTCTCCCCCTGGACTCAGTCTCTGTATTACACGGAAACATAGCTCTGTCCATGGCTACACAAAAGAGTCCAGCATAAAATGCCACTCCCTCTTCTCCATCTTTCCAACATCTCTCACTCTCTCTCTCTCTCTGGTCCAGACCTTCATCACTCGCTCATTTCCTTCGTCCTCCTCCACTCTTATCTCTCGTCTAGGAAGGGGTAATGTTCTGTGAAGTTTTCATTGTCCAAAAAAAAAGGGTGAAAAACTCCTCCAAGCGGCTGGACTCCTGGCTGCACCCCCCCCATCTCCTCAGCCGGGCTGCCTGCTGCCAGCACATGTTTACTGCTTTCAAGGTAACGGCACACAAACACAGGCTGCCCTCTCTCTCTCTCTGTCTGTCTCCAAGGGGGGGGAACAGGCTGCCCATTGCTTCCTGGCATTTCTTTACTTCTTCCTTCCACCCTTGGGGGGGGCCAGGCCTACCTCTCCCGGGCCGGGCCGCATGGCTTTTCCCCTCCCCCCGCCCAGCCAGCAACTGGGCCGGGGGAAGAGACCCAACTCCTTCGCCGCCGGAAATCCAAAGAGAAGCTGCCGGGGGAGAGCCCTGCTTTTACCCTGTGTTCTCAGAGGTGGATCCCAGTGCCCAGTGGTTAGGCCAGATGGCAATATTCAAATCTGAGCACTCATTGGCCCCATCCACACAACATCCCAGAAATCCTGTTTCCGGGTCAAACCATGACACTTGGGTTTTGTTAAACCTGGCTCTGACTGTACAAGAGAATTTGCTCTCATTTTCAAATCTGCTGGAATTTTACTATAATAGAAAACTAACTAAATACTTCTTGAGTTGTGCACACAAGTGATAACATTAAAGTGAAAGAAGATGCTCCTCATTGAGAAACAACCAGAATTTATTTTTGGCCTGCTCTTTAAAAAAAAAAAAAAAATCTTGAAAATTACCTTTCAATGCTAGTATTCCTGTACCAGGAAGCTTTTAGTTGCTTCACTCTTGACTGTCACTTCACTTCCATTATGTAAGAAGTATGGTTTAATTATATTGAAATACTGTGCAGCTGGGATCACATTCACTCTGCTTGACACCCGGAATGTTCAGACTGCACTTCTCACTTTTTATGCTTCTCTGTCTGATGTTGATCATAATTATATCTTGGCTGTGTCAGATTTTCTGTTATTGCGGCTTTTTAGGTTGATGAAAGGGGGGTTTTTGTTTGTTTTGACTAGTCTTTCTAAGTGATTTGTTACTGTAAGTTTTCACGTAAATAGAAACTTTTAAGAAAGACTATGGTATTCCCAGTTCACTTAGATATACTCAGAACAACGTAGCTGAAACGCTTATGAAATATCCTTTAAATATTTCCAGCGAAGCCACGCATACAGATCGGTGGGTAATGCCATATTGTGAGAAATGCATAGTGACATCTGTTTCTACATCACAAAGATTTTTCTTCTCATATTGCCGTGGGCAAATTTATGTTTTGCTGGCTTGAGCTACACTGTCTTTAGGATTTTATAAAGTTGGGTTTTTTGTAATGCTGGGGCTGTACCTGTTCTATGTCATTGTCAAATAAGATCAGAATTATAGGCTTATAAATCGTTGAAAAATTACCTCTGTCCCACTTTTGCACAGGCATGCTGTTCTTACCTTTCTTATAGGCATGTAGGTTAGCCCAGTTTGGTCTGGCAAGATTTAGAGCTGAAGCTGGGCTCATTCTCTGGGACAATACTGCATAGCACGAGTCAGGTACCACTGCTGCATGGCAGAGCCACAGAGAATACAAAGCTGA